TAAGAACCAATGGTAAATCAACCAACAGCATGAAGATTTATAAAATGAAATGAAATTTTAATATAACTTTTCAATAAATAGTCTACTAGTCATGACCACTTAGAATCGAGCAGATCAGAGTTTAAAAAGAAAAAAAAAGGTGGGGGCATCTTAGAGATTAAAGAAAAAAAAAATCCAGCCCATCTTTTATCCCTGTCCCTCCCAATCCCATCCCCTGCTGCACTGTTCTCCTGGCAGAAAGCAAGCTACTAAGTTTCTCTAGGGGCTCAACCCAAGTATCTTTGCTCCAGGAAACTCATCACCTCCTCAGGCCCATTTCATTTCAAACCTGTGATCCATCAGTCATTTCTAATTCATTCAACGAACACACACTAGGCACTAGGGACCAAATCTCCTAAAACTCTGACTCTTTCCCCATTGGGGGAGGTTCTGTCTGCCCTTAGGGATTACAAAGACCACTACTAACTGTGCTGCATAAATCAGTCCGGAACAAAGTTAGAATATCAGGTGGTAGTTCCCCCCACAGTCTCCTCCTCATTACCTTCAACCCCTACAGTGGCGCCCCTCCCACAACCAGAGCCTCCTCTCCAACACCCCATCACCACACCCTCAGATCTTTGTATCCAGAAAATAATTTCAAATTCTTGTACCCAGAGGTTTTGGAAAGTTCTACTCATACACAGTGACTCCTTTGGAGAGGCTAATTTTCCAGATTCCTCAAATCACTCAGAGCTAAGTTCTGAATTCAAGCTGACTGGTTCCTGAATCTACACGCTTAGCCAGTCCATTCTACTGCTTCTCAGTGAATGGGAGTTTTCTTTCTCCCCTCTACCTACAACACTCTCTCCTCTATCCATACTTTTTCACATGAACTCCTACTCATCCTGCAAGACCCATCTGCAAGAGTACCCCTTTTATCCAAACACCACGAGCAGAGGAGATTCTGTGGCAACCGCAGAGGACACTGTACCTGCCTTCAGCACATCTCCTTATACAGAGATAAGAAACGGGACCCCCCCCCCACCTCCGCTAACCCACTGCAAAGGTATAGACTCCTAGGGAAGGAGCAGTTTCCTATAACTGCCCAATAGCAACTACCTAGAGTTACTAAAACTCTCTATATGAATGCTGAAACTGCTGACTTGTGTTAAAATATGCATATAAAGAACCATACAAACATAAAAGTCTGGATGGGGCTGGGTACTCCCTGGAGAGAGGGCTCTCCTGGCCTTCATCATTGAAGAAGCTGCAACCAGACACGGGAGCCCCTGGTAAGCTGCAGACTACACATGACTGTTAACCAAAATGGAACTAAGACATCTTGTAGGAAGCTCCTACAAGGAGCGAGGAATGTTAAGAGGTCATCTACTCAGAAAATATAGTTCAGAAAGCAGCTGGCTCATGAGGAACCCAAAGTACCAACGGTAGCTAAGTCCCCTAGAGGTAGGATCCAGCTATTTTTTCTTTCTTTTTTTTTTTAATGTTTTATTTATTTCTAGGAGAGAGAGAGAGAGACAGCGTGAGCAGGGGAGGGTCAGAGAGAAAGAGAGTCACAGACTCCGAAACAGGCTCCAGGCTCTGAGCTGGCAGTCAGCGGGGTTCAAACCCACAAACCGCGAGATCATGACCTGAGCGAAAGTCGGACGCTTAACCGACTAAGCCACCCGGGCACCCCGGATCCAGCTATTTTCAAAGCAAAGATAAACTCAGAAATGGCCAGTGAATTCCAAGAACAGGTTCTATGTGATGACAGCCCCAGAAATCTAAACTTGTAAATCAGATTGTTTTTATATTTCTTATATTCCTTCCTTGGTATCCAGGAAAGTTCCGGGCTATTCTAACTGTGCTAAGATGAACTTAGAGTGAGGGTTTTTATAAAAAAAACCTGAAGATTTGGCCTGAAGGTTAGAATACTATCAGCCCACGACTGACCAGCAGCAATAGCATGAACATGGTAATCCGAGTGGAAGAATTCTCCACACGAAGGTAAAATGCGGGGAACAATAAGGGCTGTGGCGTCCAGCCACTCTTCCCCATCTGAAAATTCTCTTTTCAATACTAAATCTTAGAGGCTGTGGTTTTGTTTCATTTTCTTCTAAAACTTGCCCGCCCCCCCCCCCCCACTAAATTGTATCTGGAAAGGTCCTTGCCATTTCACCCAGTGGAGTCTGCACATGTGTTTGGAACACAATAGAAACTTAAATGTTTGTTGATGGAATGAATGAAGCAACCTCGTGGACTTCCAGAGCTTTAAGGCACCCTCAAGACCATCCAGTCCAATCCTTTTCCCACACATGTACATGTGTCCACACAGGGTCCACACATAGGCGGTCATAAAAGTCATTCAACAAATATCAACTAAGTGCCAACAATGGTGAAGACACTGCGCTTACAGAAACAATAATAAAAATGTTATCGGTCACTGATACACAGCAAATGTCTGGGGGCCTTCATGGGTCAGGCAATTTGCTAGGCCATAAAGATACTACGATGAATAAGACACACATAGCACTTTAGGAAAATTATAAAGAGATGAAGGGACCATAAGTATCTACAATACTGTTTAAAATAGAAAATGTTAAGTATTTTCAAAGGTTAGATAAAGGCTTTCAGAAGTCGTAGGTCAAAAAGGGAAACCAGATTTCAAAGAACTTCTGGGACACTGTCATTCAGGACACATTTGTGGTTTAACCTTAGAGTTCAGGAATGAAAACTATTAGTTTCTAGCTAAAGCAGAACGGCTAAAGGAAATGGCTTTGTAGGCTTTGATGAAAATCAATATTCTCTCTTCAGATCTTCAGCATTATGTCAAATGACACTGACAGTGGATTTTGGAAAGAATACAGATCAATTCTCTTCTAATGAAAACAATAATCAAAACTGAGCTCTAAATAACAAAGTTATTGTCACCCATTAGTAGAAACACAGATTTGTCACTGTGAATATTAATAAAATACATGTAAAGAATAATTTTGGACTTTTGGTGGGCCTTATTTATTTAACAGGAACTCTATAATAATTCCTATTATTTACACTATAAACTAGAAATGTAAGAATTAGATTACTATATAGCTAAACATCACATTTCTTTTGACCTATACTAAAGTGAAATTTATCTTTCAGTTTCTTTCATATATGCTACTTCAGCTTCTCTAAATACCTTGAAATGCATCCCACTAACTAAGATAACACATTAACATGGGAATCAGGAGGCTGAGGACTAGGCCCACTTCACCATCAGCTATATGAATTTGGGCAGGTAAATTCTCTGGCCTAAGTCTTCTCATCCATTAAATGAACATGTTAGAGCAAATAACCTCCCAGATCCCTCTGAACTTTTAAAAACAGTAACAAAATCAAAAACTGAAAATGTACCTCCACACCCAAACTACCAGTCAAAGCAAAAAGTTTCAAAACTAATATTAAAGGAGCTTAGGTTTAACTACCTTTCTCCTTCTCTTACTTGATTCAATAAACTTCTTCACGAATTTCCTACAGTAGTTAGGTTGAGCAGTTTCACCCAGAGCGGTTATAAACTGGGAAAGTGATGTCAATATATTCCTTTAAAAACAATTCTGTAACAAAAAATGTCTAGGTCCAGACGCAATCTCCTTAATAGAACTTTGTCTCTATCCAAAAATTAAACACTCATAAACTTCTTTGTGAATTTCAAAAGGTTTTTAATCCATGTACTCCATTTCAGAATATATTTATTCTGTTAAATGACGACTACTTGTCTTGGCGTTTGTTTACAATTTTCCCCATTAGAACTACATAGGAAATGAATGGAATACCTTTTGGCCATTTGTATGGAATACGATGTAGACAAGTAGGTGTCATTAATATGTTCATCCTAGTTATACCGAAGAACCTATCACATGAATAGGCCTATTGGGCAAATATATTTGAGATCATACTGTATGTAAAGTGCTGAAATGACTTATAAAGACAGTAATCAACGTTGTTGCTTTATCCCTGCCTACAACTGTTAATTGTATGGGTCACCAAGAAAATAATTCTCTACCTCAGCATAAGAAAACCTAACTACTAAAAAATAAAATAAAATTAACCTTACGACTGTTTTAAGGAATAGTGTTACATTTTTCAGAATGCCAATTGGTATTAGGAAAGCCATAATGCCAGATAAATACCATCATTACTATAGTCAAGCAGCATTCCTAGGGAAATCGGCTTCATCAGCCTAATTCCTGCATGCTAAATAAATTGAGTTAGAGCGAAAATGCTTTTGTCTGAAAAACGAGGGAAAATATTAAAGGCAGTACAACGGCTCCACTTCTGCAAATTAAGCAAAAAGAAAGGAAGCAGGCAAAGGGAAGGAACTGAAGAGCTATTTGCAGCAGTGGTCCCTTTCAAGTTCTAGGCGCTTCCCCTTGATCTCGAAGAAATGAGGAGACCAAAGAAGGGAAGGCACCTCTCCATTCGTTTAGAAGCCCAAAGTTAAACTCTTTTCACAACTTGCAATATTCATTGAGTTCAGTGTAAGATGTACGGGAGATCCGGATTCAGTGGGACTGTCCGGGAGAAGGGAGTGGCATTTACTTTCTCAGTCTGGAGCCCTAAGAACTGTACCAGAGTACTCAAAAACCCTGTTACCCAGCAAAGGCTCTCGGAGCATCCTCCCCACGCACACACCTGCAGGGATGGGCGGCTCCTCCCTCTCCCCCTCCTGTCCTTAGGGCTGGACCAAGGTTCAGGGGCCGGCGCACAGTTAGTCCAAGGGCCACCCTGGCCCGGCCTGCGCCACCGGCCCCGGGCAAGGCCAGAGCGCACGCCGCTGTCTGGTCTCCGCTCCCCAGAGCCACGCAGCGGCGGCGGCGGCGCGCAGCTGGACACCAGCACCACTAAGATGCGCATTATAATAAAAACTTGGGGGAGTATGTCTACACTTGCACGGGTGTGGAGGCACAGCCCGGGACGAGGGCTCCGGGACCGCCGGCCCGTCCCGCCCCTCCTAGCGGCCGAGGGGCGGCGGTCCGTACCTGTCCTCCGAGACGCTGATGACGCCCTCCTCCTTGGGCACGATCACGGCCATATTCACCACCTCTTGGGACCCCTCGACCCGCTGCAGCAGGATGGGTTTGCGGGTCAGCGGCTTGGGCTGGATCTCCGCCGCCATCCGAGGAGGGGGCGCGCCGGGCGCCGTCGCCAAGCGCGCTGCGGGGCTGGGCTGAGGAGACCGCTCAGGCACGGGCACACGCTGAGACAGGGACTCTGGCTGGCCGGAGCGGGACGCCGGGGACCCGCGATCATAGCCTGGCCGCGCTCCGGGAACGACTCCGCGCTCCCGGCTTCGGGCACCGAAACCGCCACCACCCGGGCTGCAATCCGGCGCCACCACCGGAGGAGGGGGCGGAGAGCTGGGGGGGGCGGAGCCGGTAGGGGGCGGGGCCTGTCGCAGGGGGTGGCCGCTGGTGGGCGCGAGGGCGGCGGCACTTCCGGAAGAGTGGTGGGAGGAGAGGAAACCTAAAAAAGGAGGCGGGGCGTTGGCGGCCCAATACGCGTGCGCCAGCCCACCAGCCCATTTCCGCCCCGCCCCTACTCAATTCCCGAAGCCTCGCAGCACCGCCCCTGGAACGCATGCGCTTTCCATTATCTGCGGTCTCCTAGACTCGCCACCTTCCGCATCCAGTCTGTAGTCCCCTCATTCTAATCTCCCGTGAACGCGCGTGTAAACCCCCTGGGAACACGCCTGCCAGAGGCCCCGCCCCCTCCAAAATCTATAAAAAGGAGGTGGAGTGGGGCGGGGAAAAGCGCGCCTGGGTGAGGCCGGAAAGAGAAGAATCCTGCAGGAAGGAAAGAAGCTGAACTAGTTGGGACACGACTAGGCGTGCGTAAGGTTACCTGTTCTGAGTTTCCTTAACAATGAGCCTGCCGTGACGGGAGGCAATTTACTGCCCCCAGCATGCACCAGACCCAAGCTGCCAAGTGGCGGCCCAAGGCCTCCTGGGAGTTGTAGTTTTTCGGAGCCTCATCTCCCTTCTGGCATAACCTATTGCCCACTTCTCAGTGCTCCTGCGCTAGGGGGCCCGGCACCGACACGGGCAAATAACTGAGTCGCTGCCCGGACTGACCTCTAAGGGGGGAATTGAGGGGCATCCCAGGGCTAAGCAGGTGGTTCAGATTGCTTCCTATCATAGTGGAGCCCCGAGGATGGGGAAAGAAGAGAATCCCTCATACACGCATCTTTGGGGGGAGTTTAGAGATCATCTGCAGTATCATCTAACTGGTTTTCTTAAATGACTAAGTTACTAGCCCAAGGTTACTTTAGCTTCCAGTTAAGGCTGTTCCCCTACCTCACCCCCAGACTTGAACACAGTCTCCCCTACTCCTGGCCCTGTCTTCTTTCCATTTCCCAGTAATCCAGCCTTTCTGGCTTGCTCCAGGGACAATGGAGAGAGTTGTCGTGATTATTGAATGAATGTTAGGTGCCTGGCGCAGGGCCTGGCATGTGAGGTCGTTCATTATTTGATGACCCTACTAAGCCCTCCCAGAGTTAACAAACCAGCTGAAGAGTGGTCATTTGGTGTGACTGGCAAGGGCTCTGGAAGTCAGAAAAATAATATGCCAGAGCTGGGCAAAGAAATGACACGCCTTGGAGAACTGCATTTCTAATGCAGGTTTTTGGCAGCCGAGGACCTGTCTCAAAGCATACAGTGCAACTCTTTACCAGCTCCCAGTTTTGCAGAAGTTCTACAAGGCACTAGTAAGAAGAAAGTAAGACAGGTATTTTCCAGTTTGGGTACCTGGAGCAAGTCATTCCACTTCTCTGAGCTTCAGGTCCCGCATCTATTAAATGGAAAATAGCAATACCTACGTTGGGTGTTGTGTGAGACCTACAAAAGACATATTTTAGGTGCCTTCATGCACAATAGAGTTCCAGGCATGAGGGCATGGACATATTTGGGGGACCATTATTCTGCCTACCACAATAGTTCCAAATACTATTTTTTTTAATGTTTTATTTATTTCTAGGAGAGAGAGGGAGACAGCGTGAGCAGGGGAGGGTCAGAGAGAGAGGGAGTCACAGACTGAAACAGGCTCCAGGCTCTGAGCTGGCAGTCAGCACAGAGCCCGACGCGGGGCCCGAACCCACGAACCGCGAGATCATGACCTAANCGGGGCCCGAACCCACGAACCGCGAGATCATGACCTAAGCGAAAGTCGGACGCTTAACCAACTAAGCCACCCAGGCGCCCCCCCAAATACTATTCTTATGCTTCTGAACTCCAAACTCATATTTAATGCCACTCCACTTTGTCACTTAACCATTTATAGATGTTCCAAACATTCCCAACAGTATCTTCAAATCTACTGCCTAATTCGCCCAGTAGTTCAAAACCGAGTTCCTGAGAGCTATCCTTGATTCTTGTCTTTTCCTCACAACTCCTATCCAAACCATAAACTCATTAGCTCCAAAGTAGATCTTGAATTTTCCCACTTGTATCACCTCTGCCCCAGTCCAAGTCACCATAGCTCTGGCCTCTAATATCACAGTAACCTAACTGCTTTCCCTGCTTCTTCTCTTGAACCCTTCCCTTACCCACCCCAAACCCAACCTATTTTATCACAGTGACCAGGGGATTTTGTTTTAAAACATAACCCAGATCATGTTACTCCTCTGCCTAAAGCCTGTCAGTGGCTTACCATTGCGCTTGGGATAATGCTTCTCCAACCTCACCTCTCCTCTTGTTCGATACTCTCTAAGCCCTGGCTTGGAAAATCCCAGAAACACCAATCTTCTTCCTGCTGGTGGCCTGTGCAGTATTTACATCCTGGATACTTGTTTCTCACCACATCCTGGATACTTGTTTCTCACCACTGAGCCTTCGCTCTAATGTTAGCTCCTTGAAGAATCTTACCCTCCCACCCCTAACATCCCCCACCTCTTTATAATACTGTCACATCATCCTGTTTTGCTTTCCAGTCCTCACTTCTGCCCCAAATAATCTTTGTTTCTTTTTTATTTCTAGTTCTCCATCTTCTAGAAGAGAAGCACCAGGAGAGAAAGGACCTTATCTGACTCTTCATTGTTGTATTCCCGGACCTTAGAATAGTACCTCGCCCATCAGGAGGAATGCTGTAAGTATTTGTCGAATGAATGAATAGAAAGAAAGACAGGCAAGTCTGAATCTAACTCTTTTCCATTAGAGCATAATAGAAAGACTGGAATCTGGACCTTGCCCTAATTCCTGGGATGGGATTATCCTTGGGAGAAAACATAAAACAGGCAGATGGTAATACCAATATGGTAAAGCCAACAGGTGAATAATTGGTATCCAAGAGAAAGGCTTAGTGTGCAATTTCTCCTTCTCTTCCTGGCACCAGGTACAAGGGTCCCCTCAACAGCAAGGTTCTGTGGTGCTGTAGCCTGGCTGCCCATCAGAATGCCTTGGGAGCTTTTTGAAAATGCAGACCCCTGGACCCTATCCCTGAACAACTGGATTTGCTTTTCTAGGAGCCTGGCCTGAAAATATGAATTTTTATAAAGTTTCGGGTGATTCTAAAGCAGGTGACCCTTGTTTCTAGTCTGGTCTGGGAAGGCCAGATCTAGGAATCCAATGGATTTCCAATGCAGGAAAAGTGATGAGTGGAACAGGGACTGGGCCTCCAACCATGGGGCGCATCTCCCCCTCGCTTTTCTTCCCCAGCATGAGAGACTAGCCAGGCCGCTTGCTCCTCCACTGGTAGCATCCATTGTTTCTGATCAGACCATTGTCTTTGGGGGGGGAGGGGTGAGAGGGGAGGCATCAAGTAACAGTCACAGCCTGTGGATTTTTGTCCTACTCACCTGTGCCAGAAGCAAGTACAGGGCTTTTACAAAGCTTTCCCCTTAGTCTCCCTCTCCACTCCGCTCTGGCCTGGGCAGACTTGAGCTAACAGTAGGCTTTCATGTATGCAAAGGTATGAAGTAAGGTTCATTTATATATCTATATCTGTATCTGCATATTTTTAAATAGACTTTTTTTTTAGAGCAGTCTTAGGTTTACAGTAAAACTGGAAAGTACAGAGAGTTCCTGTATGTCCCCTACCCCTACACATGGGTATTTTCCCCCATGATCCACATCCCCACCAGAGTGGTACATTTGTGACAATCAATGAGCCTATGTTCGTACATCTTTACCACCCAAAGTCCATAGTTTTCTTTAGGATCCACTCTTGGTGTTGTGAGGTCTGTGTGTTTGGACAAATGTATAATGACATGTATCCACTGTAATAATACCATACAGAATAATTACACTGCCCTAAAAATCCTCTGTGCTCTGCCTATTTATCCACCCCCCCAAGCCCCTGGCAATTACTGATCTTTTGATTGTCCCCATAGTTTTGCCTTTTCCAGAATCTCATATAGTTGGAATTATACAGTATGTAGACTTTTCATATTGGCTTCTTTCATTTAGTAATATGCTTTTAAGTGTCATCCATGTCTTTTCATGGCTTGGTAGCTCATATGTTTTTAGTGCTGAGTATTATTCCATTGTCTGTAGGTATCATGGTTTTGTTTATCCATTCTCCTGCTGAGGGCCATCTCAGCTGCTTCCACATTTTGGCAATTTTAGATAATGTTGCTATAAATATCTGTGTTCAGGTTTTTGTGTGGATGTACGTTTCCAATTCCTTTGGGTAAATACCAAAGAGCCCATTTGTCGGATTGGATGGGAAGAGTATGTTTATTTCTGTAAGAAACTGCCAATCTATCTTCTAAAGTGGCCGCCCTGTTTTGTATTCCCGCCAGTTAGGTTCATCTGTATTTCAGAGGAAAATGAATTCTGGAATTTTCTGCAGAGGAACTAGGGAGGCAGGGAAGGAAGGATAAAGTAAGAGGAGAAACCAACCTTAGGGAAATGGTGACGAGGTGAAATAGTGGCAGAAAAAGTCAAGGGGGAAGGGAGTTTCTCTTTCTGTTCCTTCTTTGCTTTGTCTTTACTGATAGCATTCATGCCACCACAGACCCGCCCGTACACCAGCCCTGAACTGAGCTCAAGTGAGACGCAGGGACTGTGACTGATGAGATCTGCCCCTTCTAAGACCAAGAGCAGAGGACTCTCCTGTGCATTTTGTCAAGAAGTGGGTATACTATTCCTAGAACAGAGTAGCTCTCAAAAAAATGTTTGTTGGCTTAAGACATAAATGTAAACATAAACTCCTCAGTTTACCACTCAGAGGTCTTAAATGTATTAGAATCCTTGGTTCAGCTGTGGGAAACTCAGGCCTGGTCACGATTCAGTAGACACTATTTTCCTTCATTCTTTCTTCTAGAAAATTGGTGCCTGCCATGTTCCAGGGAATAAGCGAGGTACGAAAGATGACTCTTGTGAATTCAAGG